CCTAGAGGGGAGCACGGTCCCTGGAGCCCTGGGGGAGAGCCCTAGAGGGGAGCACGGTCCCTGGAGCCCTGGGGGAGGGCGCTGGGGGGAGCACGTTCTGCAGGTGGAGAACCTCTCCTGAGTGGACGCTGCTCTCCCAGCACCTCCAGCCCGACGCCCACCCTCAGCTGTGAAAGGAGCTGGGCCCGAGGGTTCCGATCGGACACTGCACGAGAGGGTCCTGCCCCAAGGGCCACGTGGACACACACGGCCTCGCCCACTCATCACCGGCCAGCCTCACATTTCCACACTCCCGCCCCAGAAAGGGTGGTGTTCTTAGGGCCTCCCACCTGCCACAGCCTCTGTATTTGGAAACGGCTGATGCTTCTGCATGTGGCCAGAGAAGCCATTAGCTCTGGGTACCCGCCGTCTGGGGGCCGCATGTGCCCTCACGAGGAGCACAGAGCTGCCGAGGGTGCCTCGCCTGAACCCAGGATTTGAATATGTTCCCGGGTGGGCAGGTGTCCCGGGCCTGGGCTCACGAAGAACAGGTCCACAAGTGGGGACACGAGAGTGGGGCCCCTCCTTGAGGTACACATGACCTGGCCACCGGGGCGTGGAGCTGGCCGGGGGACTGGCCTGCCCTTGCAGGAAGGCTGCAAAGCAAGGGTGTGTCCACCTCAGTCTTTAGCTGTGTGTGGCAGGACGGGGGTGGGGGGTGGGGGCACCTTCATGCTTATAGCGAGCACGTTGTCAGAGACCTCGAGGCAGCTCGCCCACGAGAGCAGAGGCAGGGGGTTTGGAAGACGCAGGGAAAGGCAGCATTACAACCACAGAGCACAGGACAGGAGCCCTGAGCGAGGCCCTCCCAGGACACGACGGAGGACGAACGACAGGCAGGCTCTGCCCCCACGGCCGCAAGGGGCACAGGTGCTCTGGGGCCTGGAGGGGGTTTCTGGCAGGAAACCCAGCCACCCAGCCGTGCCCAGTTCCCGTGAGACAGTTGCCTCGTTCCACAACAAATACACAACCAGCTAACGCGGACTCAGGGGGGCTCTACACAGATGCTCGGCCCCTGTCTGGCCCCGCGGTGCACACACCCATCTGTCCTGACTGTGGGTAGAGGCTGCCTGCTCCCCTGAGCTGAAGCAAAGCCCGACTTTGCGACCCTGAGGCCAGGGCCGGTGATGTGACCTGAGGCATCGGCACAGCCTGAAGGGGGAAACGTCCCCCCCCGCCCCACGACTCAGAAAAGCACAGGCACAGAAGGGATCCACGACTGCCCAGCCACGTCCCCGTTCTCAGCGGGACGACCTGGAAGCTCCCAGGGATGGAGAATGTTCCAGAAGCACATGATCAGTGGGGCGAGAATAACCTCTGGGCTCTTCGGGAGCCACGTCCCACCACCCATTTCCGGGGGACATCAGAGGGCTGTGGACCCTCACCGGTACTGGCCTGATCCTCTCTGAGACCCGAGGCCCCTGCGAGGCCCTGGGTCAGGGCACAGGAGTGGGGACACCCCAGGCCATGCTGGCCACCCCTCACTGCCTGGTGACACAGGCACTTCCCACACCGAGAAGCATCCGTGTACATGCACGAAGCCGAAGCGTGTGCGACTGAAAACTCTGCAAATACTGGGACCCAGAGGGTAGGGCGTGCTCCAGGCCGAGGGAGGCCCAGGGCACAGAGGGTCCTGTGGCATGTGGTGGTGTGGCTGGTGAACCCACCTGTAGGCCTGCAGCAAGAAAATCTTGTAAATGTTTGTATAAACCGTGTGGATGCTGTTTACCTGGGTCACAAAGAAAGAAAAACATTGCAAATGCCTCCGGAACATCAATTTCTGTCACCAGGTCAGATGGAGGCAGAAGGAAGTGGCCTGGGCGGCCCCGCCCTGCCATGGTGGCAGGGGCTGCTGGAGGGAAGGACAGTCAGGGAGGGACGGGACGTGAGCGCCCAGTGGCTCTAGAGCCTGAGCCCCAAGGCCTCGGACCCCCACCCCTCCGTGGGGAGGGACCCAGGTGCCCAGGACGAGGGGCCCAGGCGGGACTCAGGGCATTCATACCCGTGTGTTCACACTCGCGCACACACAAACACTCATGTATTTAACACGCGTAGCTCTCAGCGGGCCGGGCTGAGCTCGGGCACCTGCTGGCGCCCCCTGGCCGCGGGCTCACCTGCAGATCCAGAAACACAGCGCAGCACTTCAGCCGCATGACCGCAAGCAGCTTGCGACGCATGTTCCTCCCGGGCCTGGTGCCCTGGCTGAAGGTCAGGCTCGAGCGAATGGAGGTCTGGGCATAACTGCGGCACAGAGGGGAGCCCCTGAGACTCGAGAGCGGGGGCCCCCGAGACTCCAGCCCTCCGCACACGCCAGGCGCGCAGTCGGCCCGCCCGCACCCGGCCCCGCCCGCGTGTGAAGCCAGGGCCGGTGGCAGCGGCAAGACGGCACGAGGACTCAGACGGGGTGGGGCACCCACGCACCACAGGCATCTGGGTCACGGTGCGGGTCATTTACGTGTTTGTTATTAACAAATGGCACACAGCACCAGCAAGATCTGTGCGACTCAGCCAACACATTGACCACACGCAAGCACGCGCCTTCCTGGGAGAGGGTCCAGGCTGGCTGGGGTCTCGTCAGGCTTGGCCGGGCAGCTGGGGCCTTGAGGCCACAGCCTGGTGCTTTCCGACAGCCCCGAGGGCTTCTCGGAGGAGGAGGTTGCCCCACAGACAACCTGACCCCTCTGACGTGGTCTCAAGGTGGGAAATGTGGAGGACACGGGCAATGGGAGGAAAGTCACCCACTCGGCAGCAGTGACACCTGTGGGCATTCCAGCCACACCGCCTCCCTGCACCTGAGCCCCCAAAATGAGCCCTTGACCCGCGTGACATGTGTCCTGGGACGTGTTCCTTTGTACCAGCTTGGGACACACTTATCTCGAGTCCGAGTTCTCATCTTATTAAATGTTATTTGACAGCAATTTTTTAAAAACGTCTATATATTTTCAGAAAGAGAGAGGGGGACAGAACCCCAAGCTGGCTCCGTGCCGTCAGCGCAGAGCCTGACTCAGGGCTCGGACCCAGGACCCTGGAATCGTGACCTGAGTTGAAATCAAGAACCAGATGCTTAGTTGACTGAGCCACCCAGGCACCTCTTGACAGCAATTTTAATGGCAGAATAAGGTTTCTTCTTGGTGAGGCATCAACACCTACGCGGCCGCGATTTAGGTCGTTTCGTTGTTAGCTGTGCTAAGTCACGCGGCCCAAACGGTCAGGTGAAACCTCTGATAACATCCAGGAATTTTTTTCTTGAGGACGGGTTTCTGGATGTGCAGTTACCGGGAAAACGTATGACCGCTTCAAGGACCATGATGTGAATTTATTGCTTTCCAGAAAAGTCGGTCCAGTTTGCCCCACCCTCAGGAATGTGCCCACGAGGCTAGCCACAGCACTGCCGAGGGGCCCGAGGGACCTGACCGACGGGGCCTGAGCGCCCTAGGTGGGTGGGCAGAGCCTTCCGCCAGGGCCTCCACGGGCTGGTCCCGGCCGACCGCACTCAGGACCGCCGCCCTCTGCTCCGTGCCGGGTGGCTACCGTGGCCTCTTGCTGCCGTCTGCTACAAGCCCCCGCGTCCACCCGTGAAGAGCTCGGTGCACGGGAGCGAGAGTGCTGGAGCTGGGCCTGCGTTCGACTCCCGCTCCCTGCGGCTGGGTGACCCGGGGCAGGTCTCTAACCAGCCCCCGAAGGACATGCCCAAGACGCAGCTGTGGGCCCCAGACATCGGGTTCAGCGAGGACACGTGGCTGCGAGGTGGCCTTCCCTTCCCTGCTCACAGGTGCTCAGAGCTGCTCCCCGCCTCCCCCTGGCCTGAGGCCCACCCAGGCTGCACGCCCCATCCCCGCCCCCGGCACCAGGTAGGGTGGCCTCCACCCACCTGCTGCGCTGGGTCTGCTGTTTTGTCTCCTGGGCTCCAGGTGGCAGGGCTGGGGCCGACTCGCCCAGACATAAAGTCACCCTGGCTCCACCCGCCGCACCAAGGCGAACTCGCCTGTCACCGGGTGTGACTGCCCAGAACCCCCCCCACTCCCCCACCTCGCCTGATCTGGGGTTCCGGGAAGACTGGGAGGTCTGCGTTGTCACTGTCCTTCCCGAAACGGCGCTCACCCTCCTCCTCGGCCCGTCGAGCCCTTGCTTCGAGTGCCGTCGCGGGTTCCCAGGCACCTCTGCCTCCGCGGCTGGGCCTTTGGGGCCGCTTTTGTGAACGGGCACCTGCTGACGGGGCCTGCGGGAGCAGAGCTGCCCGGCGACACCCACCTGCTCTGGGGCATCGTCCTTACCCAGGGACAGTCCCCGGATGGGATGCTGTCCCCAAAATGGCCATAGCTTCTTGAGGAGCAGGACACTGACGTGCAGTTTATGACCAAGTGGTGTGGTTGGGGCACAGAGAGCCGGGCAGTGTGATGGGGCCCAGACGGCAAGGGAGGGCCGGAAGCCGGCAACAACCAAAGACAGGGGCGCGGGGGGAGGGGGAGAGGCCAGGGCCCCCCCGGACGGAGCACGGATGAGGGCCGGAGCGAGGGGCGGGGTCAGCAGGGCTGAGGCAGCGGGGAGCGTCTGCACCCGCTTCTCCCCGGAGAGCACCCCTAAAACGGGACCAAGTGTGACCGGGAGTGTTCAAGCCGGGACAGCTGGTCACCGACACAGCAAAGTGGAAGGCCCGCCATCCCCCGCTGCCTCGGAATCTGCAATCTGTACTTTTTATCCATAAAAAGGCAGATTCGTGCATCCACATCCACCTGAGTCTGTGTCCGCGCCAAGCCCGAGCTCAGCCTGGGAGCTCGCGGGCTCAGGGAAGCTGGCTGTCAGGGGTTCAACTGTGTCCCCAAAATCCATGTGTGGCAGCCCTAACCCACGCGACCCCACGGTCTTTAAGAAGTGATTAAGGCTAGGGCCATAGGCCCAGATCCAACAGGGCCGATGTCCTTAGAGGAAGAAAAAGACACCAGTGGCCCTTGAACACGGGGGGCAGGAGGTCCGAGGGGAGAGAGACCTCAGGAGAGACCAGCCCACCCGCACCTGGATCCCAGGCTCACGGCCTCCAGGATGTGAGTGCATGAACACCTGGTTTAGCGGCCCTGTCCGTGGCATTTTTCCCGGCAGCCTGAGGTGCCACGGTATTGTGTCCAGAGCAGCCCCATGCTCCACGGCCCCGCTCCCGAGGGGTAAAGGCGACCCAGCGAGGCCACGGTGGCCGTTATGGCATGTGCCCTGGTCCTAAAGAGACCTGTGCCCAGCAGGTCCCCACAGAACACACTGGTGACCCCCAAGTCTGCCGCACAAATTCCTGTTGCCAGGAACAAGCCCAGGAAACCGCTCACCTGGCGAGTGCCCACCGCGCCCTCTGAAGCTGGGCACCCCTGGCCTGAGCTCTCGGGGTCACGCGGAGGCAGGAACGGGGAGTGCCGACCCGCGTCACACGCACCTGGAGTAGTCGCAGAACACCTCCAGGGTCCGCGTGTCCAGCAGCAAACCGCACCAGGGGAACAGGCAGTGGGCGGGCAGCTGGAGGGGGGCCGCACTGCCCGGGGCGCCGGTGTCCACGGGGAAGTTCACTGCCGTCTTCTGCAAGTTGGCTGTGCAGCCATACTCAGGAACACCGCTGACCAGGGTCCTGGGGCAGAGAGGCCGCATCAGCCACCCGGAGGGGGTCTGCAGGCCCCAGCGAGGTGCCCGAGGAAGCCAGGCAGGGCCCTGCTCTGACTCCAGGGGCCCGTCCCCACAGGCTTCTGGGTGAGCGAGGCCAGCGCCCAGAGCAGGGTGGCTGGGCCGGGGAAGGGTTGAGGCTGAAACCTGGGGGACGAACAGACACCAGACGACCCTGGTCCCAGGTCCCAGGCCCCAGGTCCCAGGTGGGCTGTCAGCTCGGGACCAGCTGACCATGGGGGAGGCGGGGCCCGGGGGGCAGGCCGAGCTCAGGGGCTGAAACCCTCTTGGGGACAGCCAGCCGCGTCCACATGTACAGCTACAGGTCACGGTGTCACAGTGGCGGCTGACAAGGTCCACAACTGTAATATGCCAGTTTTAAAGGAAGTGACTGTCTGCCATGGGGCGGGCTCTGCATCAGGAAGGGCCTGACACACAGGATGGGTGAACCAAGGAGGGAGCGTCTTCCTGAGGCCACAGCCCCAGCGCCTGCCCCGTGGACCTCCGGCCACCAGGCCCACCCACGCCGGTGCCAGGGCTGAATGAATCCTCAAAAATCTCCCCCTGGACACAGGATGTCTGCCCCAAGTGGTCTGCATCCTGGGTGGAACCCCGACATACACTGAGCCACCTGCCTGTAGCGTCACCCCTAGAACTTTCTGTGATGGCAGCAGGACCCCGTGCGGAACCCCCAGGCAGCCACTGGCCACGTGTGGCTAAGGAGCTCTTAGAACATGGCTGTGCCCGAGGATCCGAATTTGTCATTGGGCTGAACTCTGAGGAGTGCACATTTGTGGGAATCCTGCCCCGGGGCTGCCGGGAACCCCTGTGGGCAGGCTCGGGGTGCAGGGACGCTGCCCAGATGGCTCTGTCCAACGATAGCACAGTGACCGGAGCAAACACCCCTGGGTTTAATGATCTTCTCCTTCTCCGGAAAAGCACACTTGAAAATCAGCCCCGGATTCCTGGGGCCCCGGAGGGGCAGTGCTGGGGATGCCCTTCCCAAGGCAAGGACCCCAAACTTGAGACTTCACTCTGGAGAAATGAGCCGGCCCCCCACATGTTCACTCTGCAGAAATGAGCCAGCCCCCTACGTGGTCCCAGGCCCCGGAGCACCGTTGAGCCCGCTGTCCCTCCCACGTGGCCTGCAGAGAGAAAGATGCCCCAGGAGCCGTATGGGCAGGTGCAGCCCTCACCTCTCTTCCCTCCGTGTGTGGCACAGCCCCATCGGGGGTGTCCCTGCCCCCTCTGCTGTCTGCCCAGAACAGCGCACACCCTGACTTGCAGGGGGCCTCCGGGGACACAGTCCCCGCCCGCCCGGCCACCCAAGCCCGCTTCCCCCCACCCACAGCAGCACGCACGCCTGCCGCCACGCCCGTGGCTCCAGCCCCCTCGAGGCTCAGCGAGCGTGGCTGCCGCCTGGCTCTCAGGACAGCCGGGACGCGCAGTGCGCCGTTCGCCCGAGGCTGGGGCACTTGGGAGGCACGGCCGCCAGGCGAGAATTACTACTACTCCGCCCGTCGAGTCGGCGAGGGCTCATGAGCCACAGCCGTGCCGTGGGACACGGGCAGCGCCCCTACCTGAGAAAGGCTTGGGCTTGCGCCAGGTGAGGCGTGACCAGCAGGAAGTCGTCCACCAGACGCAGGAGCACCCTACGAGAGGACCGCCCAGCACTGCAGCGGGGGACCCCGTGTCGGGGTTCACCAGGACGGGAACGAAGTAACTCTCTCCAGAGAACCTGACCCAAGGCTCGCACCTCGGGTGGGGCGGGGCGAGGTGGGGGAGGCCGGGCAGCGGCCGGGCTCTGGGGCCAGGGTGCGGCTCCTGTGGGAGCCCGAGCCTTGGCCACATCCGCAGCCGCTTACGAGCCTGTGTTCACGACCTGCTAGCAAGCACCACCACGTGACCCGACACAAAGACGAGAGGGTGGCCCGTCCGCGTCAAGAGGACCTGAGACAGGAGGCGGCTGGAGGCAGGACCACACACACACACACAAAGGGGACCCGTACCCGTCCTGCTGGATCCCGGAAAACAGCCTGCTCTCCATGTCCCCGTAGCACAGGCTGCAGAGCAGAGTGGACAGGATGGAGCCCTGGGGGATCCCCTGACACTGCACGTAGGACCTGGGGGATGGGACGTGGGTAGCAGCGGGTGGCAGCAGGCCACAGCGGGCCTCCTGTACCTCCCGCAGACACGCAGGCACGCAGACCTGGGGGCGTGTGAACCGGTCTGTTCACACATGCGATGGCCACAAGGGGCTCGACCCTTTTCGTAAAGATCAGAGCAGACAGCAAGTGGGTGTCACGGGTGTGGCCCTGTCCACGGAGAAAGTCCCCTTCTGACCTCAGTGCCACTCACATGCACGTGCAGGTGCACTTCCTTCATCAAGGCTCACCTTGCTGTGCACTTGTGAGGGTGCTTTTCAGGAAGATGCTGGCTTATCCTCCTCACGTAGTTACGTTTTAATAAGAACTACGGTCATTCATAACATAACAGCCCCTCCCAGAAAGCTTCCCACCCTTAGTGCACAGGGCGTGGTCCCACGGAAGGTGCCCACCCTCCAGGCCGACCTCCAACGACCTTGGCTGTGAGCCTGAACCCCCAGGACCTGCTCTCAGCAGACGCACCCTGGGGTCCTCGTACAATTGCTTACCCAGGGAAGCTAAGTCTTGTTTGCACAGACAGAAAAATTATCTACCAGCATTTAAACGCCAAAGGGCTTCTGGAACCCCGGGAGCCTCGCTTCTGCTATGCCAGCCGAGTGGCCACAGCGCCTGTCCGGACCGTGACCCCACCCAGCACAGAGGGTTTCACAGGACGGGAAGGTGCCAAGGACCCAACTTACTTGCCCCCGATCCTGATGACGTGGTTGTGCACCAGGCGCAGGAAGAGGTGGAAAAGGCTGTGCCCAGTCTCGTTCAGAGAGGAGCTCTGGGGGAACAAAGGGAGACACGGGCGGGCGAGGGCGCGTGACGCACACAGGCAGGTGCACCGTGCCAGACGCTGCTCCGGGCGGCCCGTGGCCCCGGCCGGGCTCCAGCCACGCAGGCCCAGACGGCACGCGTCAGGGTGTGACCTGCATCACCCGGTGGGGCCCCGGCTGCGGAGAAGGGGTCGGGACGTCAGAGCCTCAGTGGGGGGGCCGGCTTGTCCCTGGTAACTGGTTCTGCACAAACCAGTTATGGTGCTGCGTGGGCTGGTCCGTCACTGAGGGCCCCGCACTCAGGAACAGCCCCTGCTTACACGCAGGAAAAACGGGTTCCCACTAGGTGGTCGATCCCAGGTGGGGCTACAGAGCAAGTCCGACTTGTCCCAAGGAAGGGGGCACCTGTTCCTTCAGCCTTGGTCAAAGCTGAGGGGAAGGACGTCTAGCAAACTGAGCTGCAGCAGAGAACCTGGCCAGGTGGGAAAGGGAGACAGGCAGCCACAGGCAGCTACAAGCCTCCGCCAGTGTGGTTCACTAGGAGGCTGCCCTGGGGGCTCCTCCGGCCGGACGGCGGCCTCAGCCACGTCCACGCCCCACGCTGGCAGCGAGCTGCGTGCCTGACCCCCACCTGTTCGATGACCACGGCATCCCTCAGGGAGCTTGTCTCCTGTAGATGCTCCACGAACTGTCTCATGTAAGGCTGGAGGTCCACGAAGGTGCACACCTGCTGGCAAAGAGGAGGGGGCGTGAGACGGGTGCACACCCCCCGAGGCCGGGAGACCTAGTCGCAATGAGGGGCAGGCAGGCGCCGTCTGACAGTGGAGGTTGGGAACGGCCCCGGGAGCAGGTCACGGCCACAGACCGCAGAACAGCCCCTTGGTCACCCCCTGACAACCGAGGCCATGCCGAAGGAAGCCGCTGGGGGTCCAGTCTTTGGGGGCAGCCCGCCTTCCCGAGACGCCTCTGTCGTGGCAGGTGGAGCCCGAGCGGATGGCGGTTGGGGTCCGGGGCCACCTAAGCAGCCAGGATGGACGGGGGCAGGTCCGGGGAGGAGGGACTTCAGGGAAACGAGCCGATGCCGTGATTCCCTCCGGAGTCCTACCACCCCTCAGTGCTAGGTGCCCGAGGGGCTTGCTCCGGCTGCACAGGGCAATGACCACAGCCCGCAGCTGCCACCTGGGGCCTGGAGGGAGGAAGCCAGGTGAGCACAGGGGGCAGCGGTGGGAGGAGGGGGCTCCCCGGCGAGCACAGGGGCCTGGGAAGAAACACCCGCACCACAGACACCCTCGGTGTGGAACACAGGCCCCTCTGGGTCTTACGTGTCTTTTGAAGGACTTGCGGACGTGCCCCTGGGCGGTTCTCTGGACCACTGCATACTGGCGCACGCAGTACGTGTTTTCTTGAGGCCTGATCACGTTGGCAATCACCTCCACCAGCTTGTCCTGAGGGAGGGCATCGTAGGCCCCCGTCACGTCCACCTGTGTGGGAATGGAGGTGTCTGTTTACGGCTGCTTGTGTGCTCACCCGGCCCCCGGGGTTCCCAGGTCCTGCCATCGGCAGACCCAGGTAAGAGACCCTGACGCCCACTGACAGCCCCATTGCCCCCGCACACGCCTGCCCCGTGGCCCCCAGACTCGGCACCCCAGCGGAGGCCTGCGTCCTTCCAGGTTCCCCGAGACGTGACGTGGCTCCACCGAGGGGCGCCTCACTGGGGCGAACGCAGGGGCCTGAAGGCCAGCCGCTCCCACCCCCTGGCCAGAGCCCACGGTGCAGGGCCAGCTGGTGGGGGGGGGGGCCGCTCCCATGGGCCTCGTGTCCCCGGCTGGCTCTCCCTCTGGTACGGTGGGACCGGAGCCAGGTGCCCACCTTGACAAAGTACAGCTGGGGCGCTGGGTCCTGAGCCCGCACGCGCAGCACAAAGCTACGCCAGACCCTGTGGATGTCGTCCATGCCCAGCACAGAGGCCCCTAGGAGGCTGGGCCGCCGGGCCCGCTCGTAGTTCAGCACGCTGAACAGGTTCTTCACTTGCGAGGTGAGGTGCCGGACCTGTGGGGCCAGCCAGGCACACGGGCAGCGTCGTCAGAGAACTCCAGGCAAAAGGGGGCCCGGGTCGGACCTCCCCGCCCCCACCTACCGGGCCCCCAGAGAGGAGGCGGCTCCCTGCCTCTGCACGGCCCCTCACCCACCCAGCGCCCAGAAGGGCCAGATGGCCGATCCCACCATGCCCCACCCCCAGCCCCTGGGGCCTCCCTGGGACCTGTCCCACGATCCTGGAAACTACGTATACAAACTGCAGCTGGTGACAGGGCTCACCCTTCACCTGCTGAGCCCCCGGCCACAGATGGGGGGTGGGGGGACACCTTGGGCATCTCTTAAGACAGGCCTGCCACTGAGCTCCTTCTCCACACCTGGATGGATGGCCCACCCGTGGTGCTCTGCCCTCCTGTGGATCTGGCAATGCCACAGGCCCCTCTCTGGGCCTCCTGTCGGCCTCAAAACCAAGCTGGGGTTTAAATGCACTTTGCTTAGAAATGAAACAACAGCGATGACCTTCTTGTCTCTGCGGAACGTTCTGGCTCCCACAACGTAGTCCATGTTCACGATTGGCCGAAGCCCACTGGGCTTGGGGAGGAAGCGGAGTTTGGATGTCAGCAGAGTGGGTCTGGCTTCCTGGTGTCTCCTGACCTCTGCTTCTGACAGTTCTCGAAGATGCACACTATTGAAGTGTTGTCTGAAACAGAGAACCTCGTGGGATACGGCTCAACAGCCTTGCCAGAGCCCAGGGTGGGCAAGCCTGGAACAGAGCACCAGTGCTCGCACGTTGGCACAGTCAGGCGCCCGGCAACCCAGGATGCTGTGGCCGTGGCCGTGGCCGGCTGCCTGCTGGAGCGCCCTCCCACCGAGGGTGCCAGGACACCTGCTTCCTTCCAGCACAGAGCCGCCAGTGGCACAGGCTGGGACCAGGCGGGACCTTTGGGCAAGGGTAGGGGGAGGCGGTGACTGGTGTGGCCCCCACAGGGGAAGAGAATCATCTCTCTGTGGACCTGTCGGCTCGTCACCTGCGACCTTCACCCTTTCCCCCAAAACCACCCACAGGCAGGGGCAGGTGCTCCCTGGGCTGGTGGCCCGCCCAGCCCACCGTGGTAGTCACATGCCCCCCGGGGCAGGGGGATGGTTTCCACAGTCCCCGCAAGAAGCCTCACTGGCTGCTTTGGGTCTGGTACCAGGAAATATTTAAGTTATTAAATAGGCCGTGCTGTCTATTAACTCAAACCTACGATAAAGGGCTCCAGACCCTCTTCCAGATGCAGGAGGACACGGGCCCCAGCGCCACGTGGCTCAGGGGACTCCGGCCCAACCTCCTCCGCAGAAGACATCTCGACTCAGGTCGTGGGCTTGACCCACATGCCAGACACGGCTCAGCACCCCTGGTCCCGCCATTAGGGTCCTTGCCAAGGCCCGAGAGGACGCTGGGCACATCGGCCGGGCTGCAGAGATGCAGGGCTCGGGTTTCCAACAGTCACGCCATCCCCTGACCGGACCCCGTCCAGCCTACGTTCACCACAATCCTTCAGTCCTTTACGTAAAACAGCCTCTGGGCAGCGGAGACAGATGTAGCAGCCACCTGGAGGCCACTCAAGCGGGAGCTTACTGCGTCGGGGCAGTTTCACGAAGATGCCTCTGTCCCCAGACACTTCCCCCAGGTACGTTGTCAAATAGGCCAGGTTTTACCAACTTGTGACACAGTCCCATTTATTCTGTGTGAACTAAAACAGAATCTGAGCCGTAGGCCAGGGGTGAGCCAACAACCTGCCTGTACGGTTGTTTCCACTCGGCACAAACTTGTGCTTTTGAGACCCTAGAGCCCAGCTGGCCCAAACTCTGACTGCACAGGTAAGCGGCGGCGGGAGGGGGCTGGTGCCAGGAGTCTGTGCCCAGCGTGGCTCCCCCAGCAAGGGGCCCGCAGGGAGCCCAGAGCCCGCTGGGTGGGCAGGACTCGGGACTCTCATCTGCACGGACCGGACAAGACACGACCGAGTGACGCTAAGACACCTGATTCCTATGCTCTGCAACTGGCTCCAGATACTCTTCCGGTAGAAGAAGAGCCGGTTCTTCTGAAATGTGGTTTCCGTGACGTAAAAAAAGGACTTGAGCAGCTCAACCACGTACGTGCCCATCAACCAGCACAGGAGCTTGGCCAGGACCTCCTCTCTGCGGCGGTGTTCGGCGGCTGGGACACAGCGGGCCCCTGAAACGGGAAAAGGCACAGAACCCGGCCTCGGCCTCGTGCCCGGTGAGCTCCCCTAGCTGGCATTGCCCGTGGCGGCCACCACTGGCTGCTTGAAAGGGGGCGGGGGGCCTGGGACGCAGCCAGAGGAGGGGCGCACGTCAGTAATGATGCTCCTCGCGATCATGTGCCGAGGGGAGAATGTTCTGGGCACGCTGGGCTTTAAGAAAAGACATCAGTAGGGGCGCCTGGGTGACTCAGTCGGTGAAGCATCTGACTTCCGCTCAGGTCATGATCTCGCGGTCCGTGAGTTCGAGCCCCGCATCGGGCTCTGTGCTGACAGCTCAGAGCCTGGAGCCTGTTTCAGATTCTGTGTCTCCCTCTCTCTCTGACCCACCCCGTTCATGCTCTGTCTCTCTCTGTCTCAAAAATAAATAAACGTTTTAAAAAAAAATTTTTTTTTAATTAAAAAAAAAAAAAAAAGAAAAGAAAAGACACCAGTAGATTAGCTCCACCTCTCCTTGTTTACTTTGTAACGTGGCTACCAGAAAGCCGAATTACCCGTGCCCCCGTTACGTTTCTACCGGCCAGAGATGGCGAGGCTCCATCATCAGTCCCGGCTTACAAGCAGGGTGACGGAGAAGCAGAGACGTGCTCTCCACACGGTGACGCATGGACGCTAAGCGGCATCACCAGCCGCAGCAGGACCCAGAAATGCCTGTGGTTTCCCAGGCTGAACTTGTGAAGGTTCAGACAAGCAGAGGTGGCCACACAGGAGCTAAGGGCGCCCAGACGCCGTGGGGCCGCGAACACTCACACGGGGCTGGGGACGCACACCGGGGCCCCCTTGCCTCCTCGGGACGCACGCCAGGGGCCCAGGGACATGAACCAGGGCCCCCCACCCTGTGGGACGCACAGCAGGGGACGTGCACCCAGAAACGTCACGAGTAGGTCTCACAGGGTGAGAGGCGGTGGCATGTATATGGCTGGGGGCTTCACCACCAATAACTGACACAGAAGAAACCGTAAAGGAGAAGAAAGGGGGTCCAGAAGCTGGTCTGGGACAGAGGACACAACGGTGAAAGAGGGCAGGGCGGGGGACAAAGCTCGCCCACGCTGACCACAGAGCACACAACGACCCCCAGCTTGGGACAGAGCTAAGGCAGTTGGGAAACCGAGGTGGGGGTTAGGCCCTTGTGCTGCTCAGGGGGAGGGAAACCGAGAAGACGCAGAGCACGGGGGCAGACCGGGAAGGAGGACCCGCGTGGGAAAGGCGGCCGGATCGGGAAGAAAGGGGGGGCATCCGGGCTCAACTGTGGTCACGGGAAAGACACGAGAGCCTGCAGGCCAGTGGCAGAGATCACCAGGCTGGACGGCAGGGAGGATGAACACTCCAGCTGGTGCTGCTGGTCTGAGCCAAACCACGAGGCTGTGGGAGGGCCAGGCACGAGCTGCAACGGATCAGAAGTGTGCACGAGGCAAGCACCCTCCCAGAGAGAGCCAGCGGGCGCCCTGCAGGCACGAACACACACTTCAAGGGAACAGGCACTCGGAGGCGATCGTCAGGGACATCAGGATTCTGAAATGTGCTCCCACCTGATAAAACCTACAAGCCCACCCCCGAGGATGCCCACACCCCCGTCAGCGCCTCCCCTCGGGGAGGGAGACGCCTGGGGCACAAGCACCACAACCTGCCGCGGGCGACCAGCTGCCCACGGAACACACGTCTGCACACGGAACACGTGTCTGCACAGCTTCAGAGAAATGGGTCTAACACACACACTGCTGCACAGCTCCTGTTGTCAATAAGACCAGTAACAAGCAGCTGAATAACTGGCTGATGGAGACTGAAATGGGAACACGATGCATCACGTGGAAACCTGGGGCACAGCTAAGGCACAGCCAGGAGGGAATCACAGCCGCTCACCCCTGAGAAGTTAGGAAGGGAGTCCGGGTGGCCCTGGGGGAAGGTGGGATGCGGCCCCCAGAGACCCAGCTGAGCCGGTGAGGCCCTGAGACAGCATTTTCTACTCCAAGGGTCAAAGGGGCCCCGGCGGGGGGTGGGGGGCACACTCCCACCCACAGTTAGGAAAAGCCATCGCGTGGTCACAGAGAAGTCAACGGGACGGGATGACGGGAGCAAAGCACAGCCTACAAGAGCCACGTGAGCCCAGGGTAAGGAGACAAGGGCAGCCGCCAGCCCATGGTAGGTTCCGGGGAACAGGCAGTGAGTGGGAGGTGCTGAGGCACCTCCAGAGTTTCCACCAGGAATTCGCTGTGTGACGTCTAGCAACACCCGGAGGCAGACGTGGACAGCCCGGCCGTCTGGCCACCAGGGACGGGGATCAGGTTTCTGACGGGAGTCAATAGGCAGGACAACGGTCAGGGCTGGCTTGACAGAGGCAAGGGAGCCCGGGAGCTGCGAACTGAGCACCTGCACAGAGGAAGGGGTGCTCCAGCAGTGGGGGGGGGGGCCCCCGGGGTGCAGGGGGTGAGAAGACACGACCGCCAGAGCAGAGCTTAGAGACCAAGGCTGTTCCTGCATCGTTTATCCGGCCCGGTGGGCAACTGGTGCGACCACAGCCTTGGGAAGGAGCCGATGGCCAGAGCCACAGCTCGAGTGTGCAGGGACACAGGGAGGTGCAGGGGCTCGGCCCCCCCCTCCCCAGGGGAGCACCAGCCCCCTTCCGTGTGCGGTGCACAGAGGCAAGGCAGACCTCGTGTGAAGCTGGGACAGAGCCACAGAACTCAACCCTTTGCACAAAGCGAGCCACGGCCCGAGAGCGCAAGCCCTGTGGAGGCTTGTCCGAGGGTGCCGGACCCTTCGAGGCCCATCCACGTGGCACGGGGCAGGGAGCCGCTGGTTATGGATACATCAGCACGTCAGGCGAGAACGTTCTAGAGATCTGCCGTGTGACAGGACGCTTACGCTCGGCAGTGTCTCCTGCACCGTCATTTGTCGGGAGAACGGGCCGCTGCTGTGTGTTGTTCTCCCAGTTTAAAAAAAAACAACTTACAAACCCAACTTATCAGAAGGTCGCCCTGGCTGCCTGCCATCAGCTGGCCCCAGAGCCTCCAGGGAACTGCCCCCCGCAGAGGCCACTGGAAGGGAGGTCTTTGGAGATGGCCAGCCCTCCCCACCACCGGAGCCTGCGACATACAGCCCAGCTGCCAACCTCCGCAGTCTTCTTCGATCTAGACGTCTGGGAGCTCGGGGGAGGCCAAGTGGCAGACACCCGGTCTGTCCTGGCTGGTCCCTGGCACTCCGGGCACCAGTGTGCCGAGGAAGAGGGTGCTGGCCGGCAGGGGGCTGGATGGTGGCTGGACGGGAGAAAACTCAACATCAAGCCCAGACAACGAAAGCGGGAGGGAGGCCGCGGGCCCAGCTTCAGAGTCAAGGCCCCGCAGGCGGCCCACTTCCCTGAGGCAGGAGAGCACCCCGCTGCTCCCCGGGGACCCCCTTGTTCCAAAAGATGGGGCTGGGGCCCCATCCTCCTCTGCCAGCCCTGCCTTGGCGTTCGGACCCGCATGCTGGCTGAGCGGATGTGTGTGGAAACCCTGGAGCCTCATCTCCCGCCCCCAGAGGAGCGGACTCTCATCCCAGCGGCCACTCCTATCCGTGCGGCGCCGTTTCAAGGTGCTAAACCTTGAAGTCAAAAAGGACGACGAACAACGTGCAGGTACGCTCGTGAGAGCTTCTGGACACTTCCGTCTGTTGCCATAGCCCTGCCCGTGTGTGTGTCACATCTGATCACTGCTTGTCCCTGGCACCCAGGGCCTGCCTGAATCCGTCAGAACCTCGAAGGTGCATGCAAACAGGCCGGGAGGGGGTCCGAGGTGGAGTCAGGTGGACCGCCCACCTCAGGCAGGAATCCCCTGGGCGGGAAGGCTGGGAGGGGTCCAGCAGGCACCTGCTCGCCCGGGCTCCTCACCTGGGCTCCCGCGCAGCCAGGCACAGTCCTGCACCCGCATCTTCCAGGTCAGCTCCTGCAGCGAGAGCTTAGCGTGCTTCCCCAGGGAGACGAACTTCTTCACGTTCCTCAAGAAGCGGCGCCGGTTGTGCCCGGAGCCCCAGAGTCCAGCGGGCACGAGCCTGCACAGGCAGGCCCGCAGGAAAGCGTACACCTGCCAGGGGCTGCTGTGCTGCCGGAGAAGCTGGAGCAGGCCTCCGGGGGCTCCCGGGGGCCGCCCCAGGGCGCAGCCGCCCGCCCCCCGGCCGGCCCGGTCGCTAGACCCCTCCGCAGGGGCCGGGGCTCGAAGCGGGCAGTGCGTCCTGAGGAGCGCGTCGTAGGGGCACCGGGCGTGGTTGGCAAGCAGCTCTCGGAACAGGGGCCGCATCCGCCAGTAGCGAGCGGGCAGGCGGCGAGTCCTGCGGGCAGCCCCTGGCCGCGGAGACTTAGAGCCCAGAAAGATGGCCTCCAGGAGTGTCCGGGCCCCTGTCAGGCTAGGCTGCAGGGCACTGAGCAGGAAGGAGGGGCGCAGCCGCTCCTTGCCTCCCGGGCAGTAGAGGAAGTGCTTGGTCTCAGGGTGTGATAGGTGTGATAGGGGCCCGCCCTGGGGCCGAGACTGCTGTGCGCCTGCTGCGGAGGTGAGCCGAGTCCCAGGGGGCCCTCCCTCCCCGGAGTTGGCCTCCGCGGCGGCCCTGGCAGATGTCACTGCGCCAGGTTCGCCGCCACTCAGCCCGTGGGCCCTGCCCGGGGGGGGCCCGGGAAGACGGCCTTCCTGGCCCCCGCTCGGACTCTGGGGTCACGTCGTGCCTGGGCCTCTTGGCTAGAGGCGGGCTGCTCCCGCCGCCACCCCGACGCCGCCTCGCGCCCGCGTTTCGGGCCTGGCGCGTGGGTCTGAGGTCCATCCGGGTCCCAGGCCGGTGGCCGGAGGTGGCGAGGGGCCGAGTGGCGGCAGGTGCACAGAGGTCGTAGAGCGGCGTCCCGCACACCTGATAGGCGCAACTCGGGGCCACCAGAAGGTAGAGCGCGCAGCGCGTCAGCAGGTGGGCGAGCACATCGTCGCCCACACGGCGCAGCAGCAGCCCCCAGGCGCCGCTGCCGCGCAGGGTCTCGGTTACCGTGTTGGGCAGGTAGCTGCGCACGCTGGTCGTGAAGGCCACTGGCGGCCCGCCGCGGGCCCCGTCCAGCAGGGCGAAGCCGAACGCCAGCACGTTCCTGGCGCCGCGTTCGCAGAGCCTCTGCACCACCCTGGCCACCAGCTCCTTGAGGCAGGACACCTGCGGGGTGGAGGGGTCCTGAGGTGCTGGGGACGGAGGCGCCCCGGGGCCTGAGCGCGCAGCCCTCCCTCTCCCACCCCGGCAGGCCCGAGCGGGGTCCCCAGGGCAGCCCACCTGGCGGAAGGACGGGCCGACGGGGGCCGGCCGCGCGTCCCAGGGCACGCACACCAGGCACTGGGCCACCAGCGCGCGGAAGGCCGCCGGGTCCCCGCGCCGCACGAGCCGCCGGCCTTGCGGCCCCAGGCGCCGCATGAAGGTAGCCAAGGGCAGCACCTCGCGGTAGCGGCCACGCAGCAGGGCGCGCACCGCTCTGCACCTGGGCGCGCGCGGCATGGTCGGGGAGGGGCGGGGTCCGCGGGAGGAAGGGGCGGGCCCGGAGGGGGGGGTGAGGGTGTCGGTGCGAAGAGGCGGGGCTTCGCGGAGGAAGGGGCGGGGCCTGGCCGGGGAGGCGCCTTTCGGGGTGTTCGCATCAAGGTGTGGCGAGTCCCCTGCGTCCCTTGACCGCAGCCTCCCCGCCCAGGGACCACGAGCCCTTCCAGGACGCTGCGGTCCCAGCGAGGGTCGCACAGTGGGCAGCGATGGAGTCAGGGGGATCACCTGGGGAGTACCCCGGGGGGAGCGCTAACGTGGGCCACCTGGTGCGCGCTCAGCGCCTCCTGAGAGGGGCCTGTGGTTTGTCACTGTCACGTAGGCCGTGGCCCAGGCACTGAGCTGGGGCTCCAGCCGGGGGTGGGAGTGGGGTGGAAGGAGCAGGGTTGCAAATGTGCGAAGATGCGCAAGGACCAGGGTCGTCAGCGCTGGTCCACGTGGGCCTGGGGGGTAACTGAGGGCGGTGGGCAGTGAGCTGGTGGCGGCAGCACTTAGCTGCTGGCACGGCCGCCTCCTGACCTGAGCTGTGGGCTTTCTTTTTCAGGTTCTTAGGCTTCTGTTGCCCCACCGTAAACAAAAAACCTAAATCAGTTCCCTCCTAAACCATGTCCAGACAGGAAGGGGAGAGATCGGAGGCCCACGATCCCCGCGGCATCATCTGCAGGCTCCTTTCAGACCCAGAGCCTCCGCCGGCAGGTCACGGACCTGCCTGCAGCGCCCCTGGAAGAGCCAGAAGCCCCCCATGCGGCCCAGCTAGAAACTCCCCACAACACTGACCGCCCCCCACCCGGACCAGGGGGCCAGTTTTGACAATGCTGGTCATGACACTTGAGCAAGGCACTTCGGAGGAGACCCCCAGATGGGATTTCACCTGAACCCAGGTGCCACCGCGTGTCCAAGTTTGACTCCCTAAGAAGCAGACAAACCTCTGGGTCTCAGGAGGCTGACGGGGACGACGTGCCCGAGCTTGGCAAACACTGGATGGCCAAACAAATGTTAACCTTTAATAATGTAAGAAGCTGAGTCGGGAAATTGCTTTTATTCCTGGCTGTAGCATTTATACAGGCCTCCCCTCTGGGCCCCGAGGGGGCAGAGGGTTTGCATAGTTACTGGGCTCGCTGGGCAGTCTGCCCTTCTGCGGAATACTCGGATTACGTGCTGCTGTTCTAGAATTCTGCGGAGGGAGCACTGGAATCTCCAAGATTGTTTGAGAACTGCTCATTTCGGCCACTGGAGGGTTGGCACTGCTGGGGGAAATTTGTTCTTTTCCAAAAACGAAGTTACTCTGGTTCATCTGGAGAGACTTCAGAAAACGTATTTAAAAAGGAAAAATGAGGCTGGGAGAAAGTGAGGCAGAAAACCACCGGTGTGATCAATACCGTGTTGACGGTGAGGAAACGCCCCCCGGCTTGAATGGAAATCACTCCTCTCCAGGACACTCCCCCTGGCCGTACGTGTGTGGTTAACCTCTCTTGAGAAGTGGGTGGTCTTAAGTCACTGCGCCGTAAACCTGAACAGTGTTCCAAGGAGAAAGTTGTGCTGTTGGCTTAAGATAAAGTACGACGGTCTCATGCGGGGCCTTCTGGGAGGCAGCCTGTGGGCGTCACGGCTCCCCCCTCCAGGTTTCTAAACAGAGTGGCGTCTGTGCCAGGAGCCCGGGATGCCGCTGTGCTGTCCGTTCGGTGCATGAGTTGCAGGGCCCCCCAGCCCGTGCACGGGGGGCGCAGCACGTGCGAGAGAGGCTGACGTCAGGAGACGGCTGACAATGTGTGCAGGGAGCTGGGGGAGGAGCTGCAGGGAGTCCATAGGCCGTCTGTCCCCGGTCTACGAGGGATTCCAGAAAGTGACGAGGGTGGTCTGAGCAAAGGGAGGAAAACGCCCTTCTGTAAGCGCCAGCCCTGCTGGCCTGACCTGAGCCCTGGGGGGGAGGGGGGAGGGTCAGTCCGTGGTTCCCCAGCAGGCAGCAAGTTGCTCCACACGCTCGTGGGCTGCCACGGGGCTGAGGGCCTGGGGGGCTGGCGTGGGCGGGCCGCCCCGGAAGGGGAGCCGGCTCTGGGTGACAGTGCGGGGAGGGGCTTGCAGGGGGACGGGGGGGGGGTGGCTTCTGGGGGGCATGCTGGCCAGGCGCCCTCCCCCTTACCTCCCAGGCAAATACGCACCAACTCCCGACAGGTGTCAGCCCGTTAGGCCACGGCCAACACGAACACAGCGCAAGGCGGCGTCTTCGTGGAGGCTGTCCGTGAAGGCAGCACAAGAGAGAAATGGGGTCCGAGAGATGGGCCGGTGCGATCCAAGCCCTGCTGGTCCCTGCTCCCGGGAAGGGCCTTCCGTGCCGCGCCCTCCAAGCTGCTGTGATGCCAGCCTCTGCCTCAGCCTGCGTGCCCCGACTCTGACCCTCCTGGAGAAATGCCAGCTGTGAGTCCCTGGTGCCAGGCAAGGCCACATCCCCAGGGTCCGGGACAGGACGTGGCATCCTTGGCCCACTGTGGCCTCGACGCTCAGCGTGACAGAGAACACAGCTGTTAAAAGGCTGTGGCTCCGGGTGCTGGTCCTGGTGCCCCGACGGATGATCTCCCGGACCCGGCTGACCCTCGGCCAGAGCCAGCACGCCGAGCCTGGGGCGGCACGTGCACAGAGCCCGCTGTCCTCTCTCCGCCCCGTGGGCGTGACCAGCGCTGCTGTCACCATGCGGACCGGTGCCACCAGCTCCATGGGCACCGCGCTGCTTCCCCCCCCCGCCCTCTGGCACCCGAGCCCCAACCGCCGGCCGGCTCTGCAGCCAAACTGTCGTTTTGAGGGTTAGATGTAAATGGAGACTGACTTTCTACTCAGCACCGTTCTTGTGGGGGCAGCGCGATCCTGTGCCGGGGACGCACGTTAACGTGACCGCGTGCCCCTGGAAGGACATCTGGGACCCTCTGCCTCAGAGCTGTTGTGGATAGAGCTGCTGTCCGTGTTCGCAGACGGGGCTTTGTGCCTGACCACGTAGCTCGTCGTCTTCCTGGATGAAGGTCCGGGAGGGCCGTGTCGGGTCCCACCGTCCACTGTGTTTGCAGGGCTGAGTGTTCCCAGCAGCACCGGCCCCCAGAGGGCTCCGCTGCTGTGGCTTCTCGCCAGCACTCGCTGCCCTCACCGTTTCTTCTGGGGGCCTCTCCGAGGTGGTGTGGACTGTCCGCAGGCCGCCAGGGAGGCACGGGGGCGCCTGGGCGTGGGCAGCTGCGACTCCGGGACCCCGTGGGCAGGGAACGCGGCTCGGAGCACAGGGGAGGAGTCACAGGAGGAGCACCGTCCAAACCACACGGGCTGAAGGGAGGGGCGCAGAGGGCAGGGTTGGGGACCTGGGGCTCGGGGGTGTTTTCCGGAAGCAAAGTGGGCGGTGTAGCGGGACCTCCGTGTGGCACCCCAGGGACCCAAAGCCGCCACATGTCCCCACTGGGAAGAGGGTTCTTTTGTCTGAGGCAAACCGCCCTCGGAGACCGTCACTGTCTTCCCACGAATCTAACACAGGCTCGCTGTGGGGGTTCTCACCCGAGCCGGCCGTGTGTGCGGTGACGTCTCTGAATAAACAACGCAGGAACAGCACACTGAAGCCAATGGCAGATGGGTCACACGTCACACTAGTGTCCCAGGCAAGGGGGAGATGGAAGGAATGTGTCCGACTCACTTGGGGTGCACCTTTCTACGAGTGGGTTCTCAGAGGTGTCGACCGAGCCAGCCGGGAGTGGGCGCCGTGTCGGCGGGAAGGGGACCCCTTCTGGGCTGCTGCACGGCTTCACCGCGGTGGCAGCCGCCTGGCCGCGGCCGAGCTGTTTAGACCGGCGGAGCCCGGCCTTGCCAGATCCGGGAGCCCCCCTAAGTCCCCCCCCATCAGGGCTGCTCTTCCGTACGCTCCCATCTCTGCGTCCCCACCCACAGCTGCACCCTAGTGCTTCTCAGCAACAGGTGTCTGAGACAACACCCCCCATCAGGCTCCCCAGAGTAAAGAAATTCACCCTGACATCAAGACAGCTTAAGTCACAAACAAGTGGATTTGAAATCGTAACAAATCAACATGTAACGGGGACGGAGCAGAGGACACGGGCCGCGTGCCTGGCAGCGTGGAGCACCCACGTGGGCAGCAGCGGCCGCCCGGCCAGCCCTGCCGGTTTCCAGTCGCCCAGGTGGCGGGTGGCCCCCGGAACCTCGGTGTCTGTCCGTCTCCCAGCTTCTCTGGATCCAGGGAGCCCCTGGTTCCTGCTGCTACTCTTACCCCGACCTGGGGCTGAGAGCAGCCCCCGTTTTATTTTCCGTGCCCCGTTCTGCGGGACAGTTCCCTGTGAGCAGAGTAAAAAGGTGTCTGCTTGGCGCCCGCGTCGCCCAGGCCACGCCCCATGGGGTTGCTGCCCTTACTGGTGAGCAGGAGCCGCGGAGGGACAACGGGCCTTGTTGGCAGCTTTTCGCACATTCGCTGCTGTCTCTGAGCAGCCTGGGAAGCGGGTGCTCGGGCATCGTCCTTTCCTACAGGTTCAGGGGCGGCGGCTTCCCCAAATCCCCCATCACTCGGGGCGGAGCCAGACACAGACCCAGCTTCTCCAAGTGCAGGGCCCGTGTCCGCAGCGCGCGCGGCCGGGGCTGGTGCAGGGCAGCGAGCTGGGGCAGGGGCCTCGGGAAACGCGGCCCCTGGGGCCGGGAGGCCGGGTGGCAGCTCCCCGGGAGAAGGGCCGTGCTTCCCGTCCCCTTAGCGGGAGACGCCGCTCGCCCCCTCCCCTGGCTGCTCTGCGACGTTAATCCACGCTGACCTACTTCCACCGCTTTGTGTACTCCCTCTCCCGCCCTCAACCGCCCGAGGAAAACCAATAAAAAGCACTTAGGGCTAAAATCCCTCCGAGTGCAGGTATCTGGTTCTCGTATCTTGGCAAACAGCTCGGTTCCTGTTGTGTGCCCAGCTCTGGATTTCCGCACTCTTAAAACTTATTTGTCGAAATTTAAGAAAATGGTAAGATAAAATTACCCACTTGGAGGCTGGAAGGTGGAATTTACTTACAGAATCATGTCCTTAATCTCTCATGTTGCGAACAGCACGCGCCCCTCCGCCCCCGCCGGCCGCATCCCGGCTCCCTGGCGGGCAAGGCCCAGCGACAAGGCTGACTTCCTGGACACTCAGGAAGGGGCAAACCAGTGACTGGCCGCTGGTTGCTGTCGGCGCGAGGTGGGGAACGACAGGGAGCAGGGAAGGAGGTGAGGGCAGCAGACCCGGGCGTCTGCCTGTTCCCCGAGAACCCCCGTGGTCACAAGGGGCACGGGGGCACGGCTCTGCCGCCGTGAAGGATAACGATCAGAGCCACTGGTCCAGACGTCCTCGACTCCCCTGCTTCACCTCCTACTTGGTCGGCTGCAACAGGCTTCCTATCTCGCTCACCCGCCCCCCCCCCCCACCGCCCCCCCCCCCAGCCTCACGGCATCCAGAACGACTTCGAAGAGCAGATAAGAACATGGCACATCTGGTTGTCCTTGTTAACATCTGCTCGTGGCTCCAGGAATAGAGTCTACACTTTTTACTGTAATTTTCAGAAATCTACCTTATCTGGTCTCTCCACCTGTGTGACTCAAGGCCCCGGGAAGACCCACACATCACATGTCCACAGAGACCCTGGCTCCCAGCAGATGTGGACGGCCACGCTCCAGCTCCTCCTGGAAGGAGTCTTCAACATTTTGGGTTTCAGGATTCCTGCCGTCAGCCACATGTGAACACACAATCAAAACCCTCCAAGCGCACGACAAAGCATGACTGAGGGTGAGCAGGGTCAAACAACAAAGCAGCAGAACCAGATACGCAAATTCTGCAGCTGTTGGGAAGGGTCCATATTGTGGCGGGACTTGTTTTCTGCATCTGGGAACGACAGCGGAAGGTACGGCATGAGTACAGGGCCAGCCCCTGAAATCAGACCAGGCGGCTTGAAGGGAGTCAAATAGAACGTCTGGAATTATGTGCGTTAGCAAATAATACAAGATTAAATAGGGAGAATCAGGTACCAAAGGAGAGAGACTTAGCGACGTGGAAAACAGGACTGAAAGACGCACAGAGAGCAGGAGGCCGGACACAGGAAACAACCGATTAAGAGGTCAGAACAGACCACAGTCCTGGAAGGAGAGAACAGGAAGAGGGGAGGGGCGCTCTCGGGGAGACAGTGGCTGGGATTTCTCTATTGTTGAAGGAAGACACGAATACTCTGCCAGGATGGACAGAGGAACACGGCGTGACTGCAGGCTGATGAGGACCCACCAACAGTGTGGGGGTGGGCACCCCGGAAACACGTGGCCTTTAAAGATGAGGGGCATTAGGACCTTTTCATCTGAACCAACCTTGAAGGATTTTGCCAGCAGCCAACTTTCTGAAGAATGGACCTCGAGAGGGATGGCCCTTGATGATGGAAGGCAATGTGAGCAGGGATGCGGACGCACGAGTGTGACGCGGGACGGGAGTGGTGGCAGGTGCAGTGGTTGGTTGGAGTCACGTGTTCGGCAGGCACCGTCCATAGTTTTCTTTTCCGGCAACGTCTTTGACACGAGGGTGCGGCCAGACGGGAGGCGCTCCATTCTCTTCAGTTTTCTGGAAGACTCTGTGTGGCGTTATTATTTCTTCCCTCAGCGTTCAGTGGAATCCACCCACGAAGCCATCTTGTCCTTCTGTCGTGGGAAGATTTTCACTACAAATTCAATGTTTTAAATAAATGGAGGGCTACCCAGGTTACCTGCACGAACTTTGGTGGTTTGTGTGTCTCAAGGGGTCCGTGCATCTGTCCGGATCGTTGGCCATATTGGAATAAAGTTGTCCATCCTGTTACTGTTCTGTAAACACGTGTGGCCTCTGTAGTGAGGCCATCTCCCTCACATGTGATATCAAAATGCGTGCCTTCCTTTCTCCTGCTTGGCCTGGCTACAGGTTTATTAGCTGTATCATCTTCTCCAAGAACAAGGCTTGAGTTTAACTTTTGGAATTACTTTTTCTGTTTCATTGGTATTTATTGTATTTTTTTACTTACTTTGGGTTTAATTTGCTTTTTTGGTGTCTTTAAAAAAATCTTTTTAATGTCTATTTATTTTTGAGAAGGAGAGAGACAGAACATGAGCAGGGGAGGGGCAGAGAGAGAGGGAGACACAGAACCCAAAGCAGGCTCCAGGCTCCGAGCTGTCAGCACAGAGCCCGATGCGGGGCTCAAACTCATGAACTGTGAGATCACGAGCTGAGCTGAAGTTGGGTGCTCAACCGAGCCACCCAGGCACCCCATGCTTTCTTAGTTTTTCAAGGTGGAAGTTGAGAACACTGAAACCTTTTCTCTGTTCTAGGTTTTTAGCACAAGGTGTGTCCCCTTACATGCAGCTTCAGCTGGACTTTGACCTCACTGTCAAAATATAACAACCTTTACCTTCATTCAGTTCAAAATACCTTCCAATTTCCCTTTTGAGTTCTTCCTCGATCCACGGGTTATCTCCAGAGTGTGATATTTAATTTCCAAATATCTGGAGGTTTCCCAGAGGTCTGTTTCTGGCCTCTAACATAACAGAATGTGTCTGAGTGGAACCATTTACACTTCTTTGGGCTTGTTTCGTGGCTCAGAACAGTCTTTTTTGGTAACTGTCCTGTGTGCCCCTGAGGAGAGTGTGTGTTCTGGTGCCGGGTGGTGCGTCTCTGTGGGTCACGCAGGTCGA